TGTCTCTGTCGCATTTCGTAAATATTGTTAGCAGGCAGCAGAGCCTTTTCCATTTTATTGAGACTTCAAATCAGCTGTGCTGCCGCCTCCAGTGCCTCCTCAGCACACTGAGGCCCAATTCAGCATGACACGAAAACTTCAGTGTGAGAATGTGTCATCCTCCCCTTTCTTTTAAGATCCGACTGAAGATTCCTTGCTTTGATTTCTTCCGAGGGGCAGACGGCTGCAGAAGGATGTGAGGCGCGTCTCTCTTTCCGTAGAGAGATGGATTATGGATTATGGTAATAACGTCTACAGTCTCTGTATCCAACATCAACAAGCATATTCCACATTTCAGATTCTTCCACATGTTTGCGGAAACGTTTCTCTGAGCAAATGGGGGAAAAACCGTCGTTCCATTTTTCAGGCAGGCATTTATATGGGAGTTCAAAAGTGGCTTTCTTGTGTTTGTGGTTAGGGCCCTGGCTGTAGCAACTACATTCTCCTCTCCCTTTCTCTCTCTCACTCTCTCTATCTCTCTCACTCTCAGACATTCTTTCATGTGTGCAGACTAAAAGGAGAGCCTGGGATGTGTATTTGCATCAGCTGAGGCGGCTCTGATTCAGAGCGCCTCACTTTTAAACAGCCCTGACCCCACTGAGTGCATCAAAATCCCCCTTAGATATTAAACACACACGCAAACGCCACACACACACACATATAGAGAGAGAGAAGACTGAGGTAGACAGACTGAACTATGATAATTAAGGATATAGATAGACAGACAGACAGACAGACAGAGATATGAAGAGAGTAAGAAGACAGAACAAGAGTCAGCAGATAGATAGATAGATAGATAGATAGATAGATAGATAGATAGATAGATAGATAGACAGGCAGACAGATTGACAGACTGACAGGCAGACAGGGTTATGAAGAGAGTGGGAAGACAACAAGAGTCAGCAGATAGACAGACAGACAGATAGATAGACAGATAGATAGATAGATAGATAGATAGATAGATAGATAGATAGATAGATAGACAGGCTGACAGACAGACAGACAGACAGAGTTATGAAGAGAGTAGGAAGACAGAACAAGAGTCAACAGATAGACAGATAGATAGACAGACAGATAGATAGATATGAAGAGAGTAGGAAGACAGAACAAGAGTCAGCAGACAGACAGACAGATATAAAGACAGAATGAGGGGGTAGACAGACAGTTATGAAGAGAATAGGAAGACAGAAAAAGAGTCAACAGACATAGATAGACAGACAGATAGATATGAAGAGAGCAGGAAGACAACAAGAGTCAGCAGATAGGTAGACAGACAGACAGACAGACAGACAGACAGATAGATAGATAGATAGATAGATAGATAGATAGATATCTCTGTTTTCCATACAAAATATAGTTCAGCTTTCCACCACTTCATGCAGATATATGGCGTAATACAAAATGTTTCTGTGTTATAGCAACGTGTTACTTGGTGAGATATGACTATAATCGTCTATATAGAGTTCAGGACCAGTTGTTGTTCTGGTACAATGAGGGAAACAGAGGAACAACAGTTGTACTTCAAGCCTGCATTGCCATCTAGTGGCTGATCACAGTACTGCTTCACCTCTGTAGGGCAGTGACAGAGAATTCCACTTCACTGAGTTCATTCTGGTTTTAATGCTCTGACTGTGCTACATAGACACTGTGTGTAACTGCATGTTGTGGTGTGAGTGTGTGTATGCGTGTGTGTGTCCAAGCAGTCTTTATTCCAATGTCATCTCAAACGCAAGCAGCTGTTCAGAGCGGGTTTTGTTGTCCTCTTCACCCTGCCGCACACGCACACAAAGCTGACAGTGAAACAAAAATTACAGTTCTTTTATCCAACATGTCGAACACTCGATACGTTATTTGAATGGAAGTGTATAATAAAGCTTTGCCATTATTGACATGAATGAATAACCACAAATATGAACTAAAAGGAAGCTGACCTTGGCTGGAGGCACTAGCAGCTGGCACAGTTTGTGCACCACATTTTTCTGAGACAGGATTTTCTTGTGTTTTCTGCACAAAAAAAGAACAGAAATGAAATATGAATGCAGATGCTGTGCAAACTACAAGCTGGGTCCAAACACATCATGTATCTGAATGGTTTTTACGTCTTCTGTCCAGTTCACTAACTGCTTCAACCATTTGAATGGCATGCTTGGCCAAAGTCCTTATAGATAAGTCTGACCGCTCGGTGGCTAGGTTGGTAATGTCTCCTGGACAGATATTTACTGTCTAGGCTGCTGGGAAAGCTTTCCACCAGATGTTGGACTGCTGTGAGGAACTGACTGCATTATCATGCAGAAACATAAAGGGGTCTTCGCCAAAATTTTGCCACAAAGTTGGAAGCACAGAATTCTTGACAATGTCACTGTATGCTATAACGGTATGACTTCCCTTCACTGAAACTAAAAGGCCCAGATGATTATTCCTCCTCCACCAAAATTTACAGTTACAGTGGCATAGCAGTACCACTACCGACTTCAAACTGGCATCTGTGGGCACCAAAATATATCTGCAGGACCATTTAAGGTGGAATGGAAAATCGAATAAGAAGCTAGTGAATATACAGCTAACTTCAACCTTGTTTGCTCTCCTGTGGCAGCCTTTACATATGCATTCAAACAGTCTGAGCAGCATCAGATCAACAGTGAAACTGTCAGCTGTGTGGAACTATTTCACAGCTTCTATGAGGGACAACAGACAAGCGATTAATCAATGTTCATTACAAGGAGGTACAGCACGCAAGGACATCTCCGTTACAAATTTAATTCCTCTTGAAAACATGACATCCAGAAACAAAGAGGAAAGTTCCTGCAAGCATGCTGACAAAAATTCACGACCGTGCAAATTAGAACCTAAAAAATAATGGAATTCACTGCCTCAGATAAACAAAAGATCTCTGTTGTTGAGGACATCTGGTTTTATTTTAAGTTTATCTTATGTGAACTGTTTTTTAATGTAAATTGCTTTTGTTCTCTGCTTTTTCAGTTTTTGGCCCAGTAAGTCCTGAATTTTGGTTTCAGCCAAGGATTTTCATTTTGGTGCATCACTAGTTGATGAAGTTAAACTTTGTCTTAATATGACACTGAATAGTGTTAAAAGAACACTTGTGGTATATACTGTTACACACACTAGTATTGATAATAATTCAGATTTTGGGGCATTTAACACTCCTTGTACTCTTGGTGCTCCAACACTAGGAGGCCTCTGACACTAATGAATGTCAATACAAATCTATTGCAGGGAATAACATCTAGCACTGCAATATTTACACTGATTTTACTTTCAGATTGTAAAAAATGCCCATATGAAACAGACATGAAGTAAAATTTTGTGAAGGCTTAAATGTCAGTATTTAAGCAGATACACCAGCACTATTGTTTTCACTGATGAAATAAATGTTTATTATCACCTTGTGTGTCGGAAGAGACCTTAAGCCCAGTGACGGCTGTGCAACAAGTCAGCAGTTCACGTTTTTGCACATTGAATGGAATTCAAATTTATCAAAATATTCGGTAGTGATGATTCCCGAAAATGTCAACTGGCAAATTCCAGTTTGGCATCGATTCCTTCATTCTCATGACTTACCTTTGCATCTCTTCCTCACATCCTCAGAGGAAGGAGCTAAGACATGAGGACAAAAGAAATGAAGAAACACAATTAAATAAATAAGATTTATTAACCTGAGAAGCTGAACTTTTTCAGCCAGGTGCTTCTGCTGCAGGCTGGCTAGCTCCTGCGCATGCTGTGTCCACAGACAGCACAGTGCCCTCCTCTGGCTGGAGGAGCGCAGCAGAGTTTGCTTTAAAACATCACGGTATGTCAGCGAGTCTGCAGTGAGCGACAGGCCAGTCAAGGAAGATGAAGAGAGCTACCATTCAAAGACATGCACTGCTACAGTAATTCAGAGATACACTCACTGCTTTCAGCAGGTCTAAAGTAGAACAATCTCAGGTGAACCCATAGAATTTGCAGTCTATGTGCTTATTGCCGCAATAATACATAAGAGGGACTGCTATACCACGAGATATTGGCCTGGGTGTGCTGGTAAACCTGTTTTTGATGTTTATTACTAATTTTTGTGAAATTTATGACACAAAAACGAATTAACAACTATGTTTATTTACACTTCACAACGCAAAAACGTCAGGATAACCAAACTGGAAGCGTCATCTTCTCAGCTACGAACTTATTGGCTAATGGTTTGAGAGACACATTTTACGCATTCACACTTTGTTAAAAAGCAATATCATCAGCTACCAGCAGTTTCAGAACATGCTAGCAATGTCCATATAAAAATTAGATCACTTTTCTCCACCTCATGGATTGGTTTCTCCTCATCCATTTTTGGCTAGTTTACCAGTGTTTTGATGAAAGGTGGCCACAGTATTTAAAGCCGCTTTTCCACTCATGGTAACAGCTTGACTCGACTCGACTCACTTTGTTTGGTTTTCCACTGGGCAAATCTCTTTTTTTATTTTTGGTACTACCTCCATCATGCTTCCAAGCGAGCTGAGCCGATACCAAAAGGTGACGTAAAAAAAGCCACAGACTACTTATTAGTCGGAGAGAATCGCTAAACACATATGCTTTTGCTAGCTACCAGGTTAACATACCCTCTTGCGTCACCTTTGAGTAACCAGAGTCGTCTCGTTGTCTGAACTCTGATGTAGTATTTCTCAAACTCTCCTGTTTTTAGTCAGCAGACTGTTGTCTCGCCACCAGAGTAGCTGGTAACAAAAGTGAGTATAGTCCATCAAAAGTGCATCTGGTGTAAAACAACTTTGTTGATTAAAGGGATGTATTTTGGTTTTGTAGTTGTGACTTGTATGCAAAAGTTTCTATTTTATATTTTATGTTTTATTTTTTCCCCAATATGTTAAGCTCAGCAAATAAATAGAAATTGTGCCACTAACGTGCAGAAAAATGCCATATTGAAGCTTGTTCCCTGTAGAGGATGTGTTAACTTGCTACGTTTTTGTGAGATCTTCACCTACAGGCCCAAAAGTTAACACTGTGCCAATCAACCCCTGAGCCAGCCAACACCATTCTCCCCTAAGGAGGTGAGTGTGTAAGAATGAGGAGATATCTGAGTGTATAGGGTTGAGTGTGTAAGGATATGGAGGCAGTTTCTGGATCTGAGTTCTCCTCACTAGAAGGTCTTGGCCCACGGTCTGCTTCAGGTTGAGTGTGGTCATGTAGTGCTGAACCAGAGGAGAATTTCCCCACACATTGAACACACACTGCTTCAGCTCCACACACGCATACACTGCATGGGACTTAGGGGTTGATGGAGAGAAGGACAGAAGGAGAGATAGACATTAACCTGTGGACACAGCACGTATCACAGTGGATAACAAAAGCTACACAATGTACTGGCAAATGAAAGTGAATGTAAATTACTAACTAAATATGTAACTAAACATGTAATTAGTATGTATTTATGTAACAATTTAATTATAATTTACAAAATACTTCTCTCAGACTTAAATAGGTTCATGTAACTTATTAACTCCAGGAAAATCAGACACTTCGACAGATAATTTGCAGAGTTTACAGAGCTTCCCGCTGCACTGCTCACAGTCAAAGTCATGCAGGACAGGCACAGTCAATAAAGAGAATATTTATGACTTTATAGTAGTATATTTTGTTCTCTTAAATACATATAAATATTGCAAGTAACCCAATTCAAAACCCAACTGACACTGTAATGCATTACACTGTAATGTGTTACTTTACTACATTCACATATTAAAGCAAAAGACTTAAACAGATATTACTGGTATTAGGCCTTCGACTGATTTCTTTAAAGGTCATGAATGCTACTGACCTTTCTGGCTGATCTGTAGTTGACGTGGTCAGTAAGAGACTTTAGGTCAGTGCCTATGACGTCTTCTGTGACCCAGACAAAGATACAATACACACACAAAACACAGTTAAAGAGAATTGCTGTAATTCTTAGATGTGTTATGATTAACAATAAACAAACTGAATTCCAGGACTGCAGCTGTGTGTGTGTGTGTGTGTGTGTGTGTGTGTGTGTGTGTGTGTGTGTGAGTGAGAGAGAGAGAGAGAGAGAGAGGGCGAGGATGTGTTGAAAGAGCTTTGGCTTAGCAGCCTCACTCACCCTCACTAATGCTTTTGTGGCTTGGAATGGCCATGTTGTTCCTGGAGCAGATGATACTGGCCTCATTCACATCGCTAACACACCTCTGAAACCCACACAAACCTTTTATTAATGTGTGTACACTGTAACTGTTTAATATGAGTGGTGCTTTAGGTAGTATTTTACGCCTCTTATCACCTCCGACACATCGTCAGAACAAAACCTCGTATCTCTGACGCTTTATAGGAAAAAGAAAAACTGTAAAATGTACATTTTGTATTGTAAATTGTTTAACTGCACTTAGGTGCACTTTGTAGTTCTACAATTACAGACTGTAGTCCATCTGTTTCTCTGCATACTTTGTTAGCCCCCTTTTACCCTGTTCTTCAGTGGTCAGGACCCCCATGGACCCTCACAGAGCAGGTAGTATTTGGGTGGTGGATCATTCTCAGCACTGCAGTAACATTGATGTGGTGGTGGTGTGTTAGTGTGTATTGTGCTGGTCTGAGTGGATCAGACACAGCAGTGCTGCTGGAGTTTTTAAACACCTCAGTGTCGCTGCTGGACTGAGAATAGTCCACCAACCACAAATATCCAGCCAACAGCGTCTGTGGGCAGCGTCCTGTGAGCACTGATGAAGGACTAGAGGATGACCAACACAAACTGTGCAGCAGCAGATGAGCTATCGTCTCTGACTTTACATCTACAAGGTGGACTGACAAGGTAGGAGTGTCTAATAGAGTGGACAGTGAGTGGACACAGTGTTTAAAAACTCCAGCAGCGCTGCTGTGTCTGATCCACTCGTGGTCCACCACCCAAATAGTACCTGCTCTGTGAGGGTCCACTGAAGAACAGGGTAAAAGGGGGCTAACAAAGTATGCAGAGAAACAGATGGACTAAAGTCTGTAACTATAGAACTACAAAGTGCACCTATACAGTAAGTGGAGCTGATAAAATGGACAATGAGCATAGAAAGGTCATAATGTTATGCCTGATCGGTGTGTATATATATATATATATATATATATATATATATATATATATGTGTGTATATATGTGTGTGTGAAGTCACACCGCAATGATCTGTGGGAAATCCAATATATTGTTTGATTACAGTTAGAAGCAAATGAACTAACATCTTGCAAAATTCAGCTAGGCTTTGAAAAAATGGGACTTATAATGACCTAATGTCCTCATCAGATAAACAGCACTTAAAGCTTTCATCTCTGAGAGAGAGGAGAAAATCAAGCTGCTTCAGATCTGAAAACATCCACAAGTGTTTCTGTCCATCCTTCTACTGTGAGAAGACGACTCAGCGCTATGGGTCTGAAAGGACGTGTAGCTGTCGAGAACCCTCACTGAGAAAAGGAAGTAAACAAAGAAACTGCTGATGTTTGCAGAATAATGGACTGACCACCCCAGAGTCCAGACCTCAACATCACTGAATGTGTTTGGGATTACTTGGATGGTGAGAAGCAGAAAATGCAACCAACTTCTAAGACTGAACTTTGGAGGTGTGGAAAAATATCCCTGCAGATTTTCTCGAGAAACTGAAAGTGAGTCTCCTGAAAAGACTGGAAGCTGTAATAATGATGGACACACTAAATACTGAAATACTGGCTGTTGAGGCTTCTGAGTAATGTTTTATGCTTTTTTGTTGACAGTGAAAAACAAATAACTTGTCCATTATGGTAATTTTGAAGGAAATTAAAGTGGTTTTAAAGCGGTTTGTATAATACTGACCAATTTCTTTGGGCCTGTGAGACTGCCATGTTGATTGTGGATGGTGGGGTTAAATAATGAGGTGCTGGAGAACATACTGTCAGACAGAGTTAGAGTGGAGCCTGTTCAAGCACACACACACACACACACACAGACAAAAGCACAGGCATATACACAAGCACATATTCACATAAATACATACTTAGGCAAAGTCAAAGCTATGTTTACCACCAAAAAAAGGAAAAAATGGGAAAAAACCTTTAAGCGGCTTTAAGCTCTCATTCTCTAGAGGGGCTAATTTAAACTCCAGCGCCCCTACGATCCATCTCAAAGCTGAATGCAGCCCCGAATCGCTCCGGCATACATTACATCTTAGCACTAAAGCAACAATAAGCAAATCCGATGAATGCAGCAAGAAGATTTGAAAGCTCAATAAAGATTAAGGATTAAAGAGCAGAAGGAGGGGACATTTTATTCCCATTGTAGGGATTAGAGTCTTTTGGGGTAATGACCTACCACTCTCCTTCTGCCTTTTCTCACTCTCCGAGACGCCACTGGCCTCGTCTGGCTCCAGAGCTTCAAAGTCCCACGCCTTGTAGACTTCAGGAGCAGGACAGATCCCTACAGAAACACAGAGAGAGAGAGACTCATTTCCATAATAGCGTCTTTGATCCACATACTTGTGACCAATACTTCAATAGTTCACACAAGGACGATCCATTGTACCGATTTCCCTGCGACATGGCTGACAGATCTAAGCTTGGTTTATTGCTTCAAGACTATTTTAGACTCAAAAAGGGCAGCAGCGGTCAATAACTCAACAGCAGTAATCTGTGGCCACGGTTTTCTCTTCTCTGTCACTGTGACATTCTTAAAAAAAAAGGGAGAGAACTTTGCTGAAATTAAACCTGAAAAAGACTTAATTGAACACATATTGATAAAATATTAATGGAATACAGCACTTCGTACCCATATCCTACATTTTTCTTGTATTTTATCTTGAGGTCCTTGTATGGCTTTTGTGTGGCTTTATGTATCAAAAGCAGTCACAGTTTATTTTACATGACCATTTTCCAACATCTCTGTACCCCTTAGAAGCCAACAGGCTGTTTTTGTTACCGTGCCTTTAAGACTGATATATGTAAATAAGTTCTGTGATCTCTATTCTGATTGGCTGCCCTGTATCATGCTTCAATCAAAAGCAGTCCAGGCTAAAACAGTCATTTTAACTTCAGTGTAAGTGGGCGAGGCTAAACTGATGTATGCTGAATAGGCGGATGTATAAAAATGAGCCGGTTTTCATGACATCATAAGAACAGTGAATTCAAAATGGGCTAACGGGCTGTTTTTGCAGCTTGAGCAAATGGTACCTTTTATTTTTCACAGTATTTTTAAACTGTTCAATGCAATTCAGTCGTTAAGATGCAAACAAAGTAATTCAGACTGGTTTGATGTGAAATGCTGTGTTCTAGAGAAATACACCAAGTCAGAACTGTTGACAGTGGTGGTGGTGATAGGAACCAGATGGCTGAAGAGTTTAATGGCTCTAAAAGCTCCCTCACATATAGAGATTACATGAAATGGTTTCAAATGCACTGCCTGATGCCTGAGATATTGTTTATGACAGTTTTGAGAAGATTTTGGTCTAAAATGTATTTTAAAATCCATTTGTGAAGTAAGGCACAATAGTAGCTCCACCCATTCACATTGATGTTATAAACAGACGGTTCCTTTTTTTAATTGAGCACAATACAGGGCAGCCAATCAGAACAGAGGTCATTTACATATGTCAGTCTTAAAGGCACGGTAATAAAAACAGCCTGTTTAATTCTAAGAGATAAATTAAGGTTCTAAAATGGTCATGTAAAAAGAAATTGTGACTTTTTTGATGTATAGAGACATACAAATGTCAAAAGAGCAAAAAAGCTGCAGTTGCACCTCCTGTCCACTGGTAGGCGGTGAGGCACAGAGCAGTGAGGAAGGTCTGGTCGCGAAAGCCGCAGGACTGAGGGAAGCAGCAACAGAAGCAGCAGTAGAGTGTCTGACTCAGTGTGCTGGGAAAGTCCTGAAAAAAGACACCAAAGAACACTTTTCCTCACTGCCAATATCATCATCAACATCTACCAAACAATCCCCAAACTCTGCACTGTCCTCTACTGGGAATAAACTTGAACATGGCATTTTTTGCACATTTTGGTACACAATTTCTATTTTTAACAATGGAGTTACACCACACACACACACACAAATTTTCTAAGCTGCTTATCCTTCTGGGTCACGGGGGGAGTTATAATAAAGTTAATATCCAGAATATCTCATATTCCAGCATTAGTGATAAAATCTTATATATAGATATATAGCTTGACGCTTGTTGTAGTTTATTGTAACTAGATTATTAGAGTATGTTATATATAGTTATTATATAACTTCCAATTCATCCCAGATAAACTAAAATATTGAACAAACCATTAAAATGACCTAATGCTGTTTAAAATGATTAAATCCATACTGTAAGTTATTTATTATAAGACAACAAAACTTATTAAAGGTGCCATATCCTACAATTTCTTGCATTTTTTCCCACTTATGCCATGTGGGTCTATGTACCAAAACTAATTTGTAATTGAAATTCATTTTAAAGGACTTTTCTTTAGCTATTTAAGAACATTTGAAAACCCCAAGCCAAATTTAATGTTTTATTGGTCACATCTACTACATTAAACAGACGTAAATCTAACATTTTCTACAACTTTCAGTAAACAATTCCTATTTATTTGATGAGTTGAACAAATTGGAAAAAATAAAATGTATAATTTTTTCCATTTTAAATACAGCAAATAAACAGTAACTGTATTAAAATGTACAGAAGTGTGTTCTCAGTAGAGGGTTCGTTAACCTATTTTCACTTAGAAAATCAGCAGAACATATAATTTGACCAGGGGAGCACAAACCTTTGGCATATGATTATATATGTAATAGGGGTGCAATAGTACACCGTATACTGTCAAACTGTTCAGTACACCCCGTATGGTTCAACACAAACACATGAACTGCGGTATTATGATATGCCTGCTATTTTCTTATAATTTCCAAAACTTGTACACTGTACATTCAGATCCACAGTACATCTCTGGAGCCTATCAGTGCTCTGTATGCAAAGACAAGCTGGAGAAGAGAGGAGGAACTAAAAAACAAACATTCTATCAGCTCCAATGTGACAATGGTGAGCGCTAGTCAGACAGACAGAAGTTAAGGCCACCACACACCAGATGCGCCATGTATGGACCCCAGCGTCGGCACTCCGGGTCAACGTGCCATGGTGTTTGCCAGTCTTTTGGGTAAATTGACAAATGCTAATAATAAGTTACCTTAGCTAATGTTACTATCCTAGCCTTTTTGAGCTCGTATCTTTCAGCTTTAACACAGCCAGTTTGTGAAGAGGTAGTAAACGAGTGCCAAGCGTGATAAGTAATGCTGAACACTTTATTATATTCCGTTTATATCAGTATAGTATAAAAACAAACTTGAACCTGGCTATTTTCGGCTCTCCCTGCCGGCATTCTATAACAACGCTCTGCTGTGTGACGCTGCTCTATGTGACACGGCACATCCGGTGTGCAGTGGCCGTTACAATATGGCAGGTCTTTGGGCTCAAAACCTGTCAGAATCTGTGTGTTAATGCGTGTAACATAATTTCATGTAAACACGAAAATATTTGTTGTGTTAAAACACAAAATATTTGTGTGTTAACGTGTTGAAGATGCTAATTTTCAGTATTTGGATTTTGTTGCTGTTGGGAAACCTGTGTAAATCAAGATGCCTTACCGCCACCTACTGGTGTGGCGCTATTACTCAAACAACATACGGAACCAACAGACCAAATAATGGAAAAAACACAAGTTTTCAATTTACTTTAAAATACACTGATCAGGCATAACATTATGACCTATATGTCCTTGTTTCTATGCTCATTGTTCATTTTATCAGCTCCACTTACTATATAGGTGCACTTTGTAGTTCTACAGTTACAGACTGTAGTCCATCTGTTTCTCTGCATACTTTGTTAGCCCCCTTTTACCCTGTTCTTCAGTGGTCAGGACCCCCATGGACCCTCACAGAGCAGGTACTATTTGGGTACACATCAGTTACACTGATGTGGTGGTGGTGGGTTAGCATCTGAGTGCATCAGACACAGCAGTTATCTTCTTTAAAGTTACTATTTTGGAGATACAAGTCTTTCTCTGGACAGCAACATTGTGGCCTCTTTAAGATGGTGAGTGATTCTAAACCTCTGAACAGCAGTGCAAGCGTCAACATGTTTGGTCTCAAGCGATTAGAACTGGACTGAAGTAGGTTACATCGTCCTGATCTGGCCTTTACACCTGCATTTACACTTCTGAAATGTTGCTCATATCCTGAGATACTGTAGAGTATAAAGTGGGAGAGAGTAGTTTAGGCTACCCGGAGGAATGTGGTGCCACTGCGAGTGGAGAGGTTTTGGGTCAGAATACTGATGTAATTCTCCGCAATCCGGCAAAACAGACGATCCTGAGTTTTCCTGTCGGGCTGAGAAACAATAAGAGAGAGAGCAAGCGAGACAGCGTCAGAGAGAGAAAGGCAAGCCAGAGAGGGAGAGAAATAGAGATTGACTGTCAGTCAGAATGATAATTTAGGTCTAAACAGTTGCCGCAAGTGACTGTGCAGCAACTAAAGTGTAGGAAAACTGTCCCCTGGTGGCTCCCCCAAGGCCAGCTCCTCTGCACCTGACAGGCAGCCGTGCAGAGGTGGGGAAGATTTATTACCATATTGCTGATGCCCTTCCAATCATTTCAAATCTGGAAGGCATAAAGTTCCTCCATTTTTTAAATGAAAACCTTGACCTAAAAAAGAAAATCCAACTTTTTGTCGATTGTTATTCCAAAAAAACTCACCTGAAAGTTATGAAGGAAGAACCACCAGAATGAATCGATAACAAAGTGCTCCACGGTGGATGAGGAGAGAATGGTCTGGAAAGAAGCCTTCAAGCTGGGCTAAAACACACAGTTTATAACACATGATGTGCACAGCAAGACTCAAAACTACCATTCAAAATGTTGTATATCGCTGCTGTTGGAACAAAACCTCAATTTTTGTCATTTTCCAGTTTTTCGCATAATTTGAAAATGCCTGTTGTCCTCTATATTGTGTGTAGATTTCATGAAGAATGGACCAACATAAATGGCCAAAATATACTTGGAAAAACGTCTGGTTCCATGGACTCACATTGAAAGTAAAGTATGTTTTTTTCCTTCTCCTGGAAAGTTTCCATTTTGGAGATGTAAGGTTTTGTTCCGACAGCAGCGATATGTTCTATATGTATACAGCGATGAGCCAAAACATTACGGCCACTCAGAGATAAAGCGAATAATGTTGGTTATCTTGTAACAATGGCACATGTCAAGGATACAATAGCTGGTAAGCGAAGGTAAGGTTCTTGTAGTTGACGTGTTGGATGTGGGAAAAATGGGCAGCAGTGGTGAATATCTGCACCGACGAAAGAGTGGTGGGCACCGCAAAGTCTATCTCGTTTGGTCCGACCCAGCAGAAGGGCTACTGTGGCACAGAAATTATTAACGCTGTTCCGGGAGGAATGTGTCACAACACAGTGCATTGAACCCTGTTGCGTATGGGGTTGCACAGCTGCAAATGAGTTAAGAGTGCCCATGCTAACCCCTGTCCAATGTCAATAGAGCCTACAATGGGAATGCAAGCGTCAAACTCGGACCTGAGAGCAATGGAAGAAGGTCACCTGGTTTCGAAGAATCCCTTTTTCTTTTACATCAAATGGACAGTCAGCTACGTGTGCAGTGTTTACCAGGGGAAGTGATGGTACCAGGATGCACTGTGGGACAAGCTGGTGGAGGGATTGTGATGCTCTGGGCAATGTTCTGCTGGGAAATCCTGAGTCTGGGCAGGCAATCAATTTGACATGAGCCACCTACCTAAACATCATTACAGACCAGGTACACTCAACAGTATTCCCCGATGGCAGAGTAATGCAGGGTAATGCCACACTACACACATTGTTCAGGAATGGTTTGAGGAACCTGATGAAGACTTCAAGGTGCTGCCCTGGCCTTCCACAACCCCCAGACCTCAATCTGATCGAGAATCTGTGGATGTGCTGGATGTGCTGGAGGTTCACGAGTCCAAACAACGAGTTCATGCCTCATCAGTCAGTCAGAGCTGATTTGATAGCACTCAGATAGAGGATCAACAGCATATTAGGTCATAATGTTTTGGCTCATGAGTGTATAATCATATAATCTTCTCTATGTAGTCTGATCATGTCCTGCAATGACAATCTCAGTCACCTGAGGAACCGTTTCTCTTCTGTTTTTTTTTCTTTCATACCTCACTAAGGCATGAGCATCATGGTCACTGACATGCTTTTGACCACAATTTCCAACCCTATTTACTGATGTCTGTTCCTTAGATCTAAATGCAGATGTCACTTTGGTCACTGTGAAGTTGCACAGTCTTTGCCACTGAAGTTTTTGCCAACTGTGACCCAATAATGAAGACTTTTTCAAAGTCGCTTAGATCTTTTGCCATCTTCATCCAAAATCAAAGTCAACTGAGCCTCCTTAGCATTTTCATACAAGCCACAGAGTAAACTACCTATCTGGAAGTATCTGTACTTGTTACATTTCAGTAACGTTCATTACGTTTTCATTTGGAATTTTTTCCTTTTGGAATACAACTGGCCACTTTATTACAAACCCCTACCTTATACCTCCACATTGTTGGTGTACAATTAGCGGCTGTAGCCCATCAGTTGACACACAGTTTCTTTTGACGAACCCACTAGCCCTTCACCATCCAGGTATTGTCCTGTATTCTTACATTCCATAAGGTGTTGGGCAGCAAGCAACGACCCCAAAACATGCTGTCAAGAAGAAGTGCCAGCAGAGTTTTAGAACAGCTTGTCACTAGCCTTTCTCTATCATGTATACTACAAGCCAATTTGTTGTAATGTTAGTAAGAGAGAGGCTATTTAAGCTCAAAAAAGCAAAAATGGATCGCTAATAATTTGAAAAAAGTTTCTAACCAAATAAAGGTCAGTAAAAGCTGTGTAGAGTCCAGGGCTAATGAAGACTCAGAGGGCAATGCTACTGAAAACCACAGCAATGATGGAGAGGGAGCTCCAACGAATTGGCTGCATTATAGGCATACACCGTATACTGCAGGAAGACAAATTAGCAAAAACAGTGAGGACCACTGGGGTCAAGTGTGGATAACAAATTGTGCATGACAACAGACTACAGTCGGTAACTGTGCATATGTGGACTATTCTACTGGATTAGTTCTGCGGTCTCACAGTTAAACTATAAAAAAAAATTATTATGTATTCAGGCCTTACATATTTAATTATTATTACACACACACACACACACACACACACCACACACATATGTGTATACATATATATACACACATATATACGTACTACATTGCCAAAAGTATTCACTCGTCTGCCTTCACACGCATATGAACTTGACTGACATCCCATTCTTAATCCATAGGGTTTAACATGATGTCAGCCCACCCTTTGCAGCTATAACAGCTTCAACTCTTCTGGGAAGGCTTTCCACAAAGTTTAGGAGTGTGTTTATGGGAATTTTTGACCATTCTTCCAGAAGCGCATTTGTGAGGTCAGACACTCACAGAAGTGAGACTGTATGGCCACATGGTGAGCAGTTAGATTTTATTGTTTTGAAGTAAATGTGAAGAGATTGAAGTGTGATCAGAGTGTAACATTAAAAATTGTCACTACTGAAACATACTTTCTGCAATTAAGTACACTTTTTGTGTTTTAATGAAAATATTATGATTTTATGTGTGTCCAACTGAAATTTGCTAGTCATGTACTGGCTAGTGTTTTTGAGTTCTGCTCAAATTAGCTGCAATTGTCGCTACAGAAACAGTCACTACTGAAATGATTGTTAGAGATAAAATGGAATGTTTAATCATTTATTTTAATGAAATATAATTAAAATATATGGAGACTTTTGCCGGAATACAAACAGATTCTGAAAAATGATCCATGTAAAGTAAACCAATAAGCTGGGTGTTTCTAATAAAGAGGCCAGTACATGTAAAAGACTGTGACTGCTGATGGAGATTTCAGGCACCTTGTGCACTAGGTGGCGCTGTGCTTGTACAACGCGTGTGACGATGGTGGCGTATGCAGTATCATGAGGCAGAGGAACAGGAATGTCAGTGAATACAGGACACTGGTAAAGCTCCACCATCTTCATCCTCTCTCCTCTCTACACAAACACACAACCAGACATACACAGTGCATACAATGAATCCACTCAATAAAGTGACATGAGCTATATGAGGTACTTTTGTTCATTGTTGTAAATACTTGTTTATTTCATACCACATTAGCAAGTCTTTTTCAGACCATTTAAAGAGGAATTCGACCAATTAAAAAAAAAATCTGAATAATTCAGCCCTTGTAATGTAAACAGTCATTCAGAGTGGTTTGACATGAAATGGTTTGTTGTAGAGAAACTTACAAACTTTCTTTACAGTGGTGGTGATAGGAACCAGGAGTCACAATGTCAACAACACAAATATAGCTCTTTTATTTACTATCCAAAACCACCAGTGAAACCTACATGTGTCTGCTGAGTTTTATATGTAATGTTGATAATGGTAAAATAGTCATTAATCTGAAAAATTAACTTTTCTTTGGGGACTAATTTGCCTTACAATACCCTGCATGTACCCATCTGCCATGAATGGATTAAAATAAATCGATTGAAATACATTTTAAGCCAAATTATTACCACAACTATCTTTGAACAACGTCTCAGTCATCAGGCAGTGTATTCATAGACATTTAATGTAATAACTTTCTGTGAGGGAACTTTCAGAAGCATTAAACTCTTCAGGCATCTTTGACGTCCTCTGTCTTCAGACAAGTATTTCACATCAAAGCACTTTGAATGGCTTTGTTTACATCTCAACTATTTAATTACGTAGAATTTTTGAAAAATCAGTGGAGTTCCCCTTTAACATGTCAACACAGTTTGAGATAAGCATGTGATGGTATGTATGATGCTATCTGGAGTGTTAAGCTTTCATTACTTGTTAGCTATATTAGCCTCGTAGCTCCAGTGCAAAACTAAAGAAAACTTCAGACACCAAACATGTCTGATCAACCATATATAAGGCAAGGAGAAAATTCTGTACATTTGATTTTAAAGTACACTTTAAAATAGTAGTTTGAGTAGAATTTTTTTTTTAAAAATGTTGATTTAATCAGTACACCCTGAAAACATGCACACAGGTTAGGGAAGAGTCAGAATTTTCCCATTTTTGAATGATGGATTAGGCTTTTTGATACACACATTAGCTTCCCTCTAACATTATAGGTATTTACATAGAACAACGATGAGATGTCTGAATGCTATGCTCCACCAGGGGGCAGTGAAGGGCCTAAGTCTTAAAGCTTTTTCATGTTCAACATTAAAACACAGATACGGATACGGATGTAGCCTTCTGTCCGTACTCTGCGTTCATTTGGTCCATGTTTGTGCCTGTGAAAGCTTACAGATACGGACGAAATGGAGCAGCACCACCAGAAGCTGTTGGGGGGTTTGTAGCCAATACTTCACATGAGACACAACGCCAGTTTCTTTCATTGGTAACATAAGTGAAAAGAATTCTCCATCCACATGTCATCCACAAGTATTTAATGGCCACACAGACATTACAAAGTCTACAACCTTCCTCTTATATCAAAAACATGACCGTGAAACACCAGAGGGCGTCCGGGGGCAAGTCCACAATGAATGGGGTGAAGGGAGCTAAAAGGCTAAAAATGAAAAGTTAAAATAGTTTCTAATCACTTGACCAGAACTTTTCTTCAATTTTAGTATGTAGAAGGATGTATTTCACTAAAAAAGCAAAGAAAACTCACCTGTACGCTTCCTTTTTTCTACAACAAACAGGTTTTGGGCAGCAGGACGCTAACATTACTGCTACTGAGTGCTGATTGGTTGGCAAGCGGAGCAGCTCATTGGCTGTTTGCGCTCACTGACGTTATGAACATGCATGAGGCGCAGTTTTGAACTTCTATAACCCAAACTTAAAAGCATTCAAAAATTATTTTACAATAATCATTTTAATGTATAAAAGGTTTTAAAATTTCAACTCCAACTTTGATTTGATATTTTGTTGTGCTCAGGTTGAGCTGCAGACCTCAAACAATGTCCATCATGACACAAAACTACGATGATGGAATGCTTTGTTTTGTGGTCTTTTATGTTTAAAATACGGTTTCTTGTTTGAGTTAGGAAGTTTTATAGAATGACTACTTAGCTCATAAAATATAAAACACTAGATAATCTGTTTCTGTTAGCAGGACATTAGAGAGGACTGTAATTATGGTATTATTGGGGAAACCTGTGTTTTTAACACATTTTTTCTTTTTTTGTTAGTGTTTTCACTCTTCCTTTCTTTTGTTTTGTTTTTGTTTATAGAACATACCAATCAACAGTGTGAAAGCACTGCACATTTTAGCCGTTGTGTAAATCCGCACGTTAAATAAAAAGCACATTTTATAGGTTAATATAAATGAAAACAATCTGGGGGAGGACATCCTTAAACAATGACCTGTGCCGAGCCCCAGATCTTTACACGCCCAGCTAATGCCCCAGGAAAAATAGATGCATTTTAAAGACTTCAGATTCTTCTCTCTGTTTAAGTTTTCGTTACCCACAATAGATTTGTGCTCTTGGTCTTGGTTTAGATGATTTTGTAATAGTAAGATGCGTCACTTTCCACTGAAACATTTGGCTTACAAATTCGAATATCAAATTTGACAGCAATACCCATCCCAAAGGTACACACGCTTTGATAAAGACCTACATTTACAACAGCATAGAAATGACCGAATGTCACTGCCTTGTGTGCAAAGACTTCTGACCTTTTCTGTGGCCACTTTACTCTTGTGTGAGGTGAGCCAGGGAAGACTGGGCGGCTTCTCTGTCTTTTCTGCAGTGACAACACACACAGCAAAAAAGGTAACTCAGATTCTACAACAGTCTATGCACAACAATAAAAACAGTGATAAAGTGTCCTCAGTATTTTTATTGCATTAAATCAGAGCAATCCACAAATATCTAGAAGACAAGATTGTTGAGACAAGATTGAAATAACATCTGAAATTACAAATTTATGGCAGCATTTTCATCTATTCTTCACCTTTAATAGCATCATTGTTGTTTTATAAAGAATACGATCTAGCAAAGATGCAAAATCATAGATATCTGTTTTGTTTGTGGCACTGTCTTTTTGAGCAGGAATTTTTTTTACACTATAAACAGCCTCCTTTTATTGTGCATCCAATAATAAAGGCAGCACGGCTTCGTTTATACAGTCATAGGAAACACTGTAGAGCACAGAATGCTCCCTATTCCACATGATGATCTATTTTAGTGGCCCAGTTAGTCTGGGGGCAGATTTGAACAAGTTAAGGGAGACAAAGACAAAGTATCTACATGTATCACTGATGTTACGTTAGGTTTGATAGGGTTAAAAGCAATCTGATTGATCAATCTGATCGGGCTGGTCAATTTGATCAGTGCACTACACTATAAACTACTCATACACACCATCATCAGCTGTAGACTCAGGCTGGACGTTTCCACTGACACTGCTGATCTGAAACACACATTTACACACACAGTTGATATATGCCATAAGAATCTGATGTTTATAACCCAAAACATCCCAATATTTGATTCAGTTTTACATTATGATGTGATCTTCAATCAGTTGATCTTGTACTGTCAACATTTCCTGTGTTATAATTATGAGATAACAATGAAAATTTTCACATTTGCTCCACCTGTGGGTGCTGATGGAAATTAAACCACCAGCTTTGCATTAACTATAGACAGAAAAATGTGTGTGGGAGAAGAATAAGGCTTAGGTTTAGAAACATCTATGTACATAGAGTGTACAGTACATACTGTCACTGTCGGGACAAAACCTCATTACATTAAAGGGGAATTCAACCGATTTTTCTAAGTTTCTACATTATTAAATGATTAAGAATTACATCTCAACGATTGAATTTATGCAGAAATTTTTAAGTTACATTAAAAGTTAAGGATATTTTGCCCTCTCCTGTAAAAGCTTTTAAATGTTACCATTTTGGAGATTTGGAGTTTTTTTTCTGACTTTGACAATGTATAGATAATAAAATGGGACATATTTCCCCCTTCTCCAAAAAAACAACAAAAATCCAAGGTTTTTTCGACGTTCGACAGTTATCATTCTAGTCTTCACTCAACAGAAATCCTAACACAAAACTCAAAAAAATAAATGAGGAACGAAACATAAATAACTGAAGTGAAACAGACTTGAATAGAAGTAAAAGTATTTTCTTTTAATACTCAACAAAGTACAAATCCTTCAGAACTGTACTGTGGTACAATTTTAATGTACTGGATTTAATGTAGTGGATCTTGGCTGGCTGTAGAGAGTTAGTTGGGAAGGACTGTGAAGAAGAATGTGTTAGCTTACCTGCATGAGGTGGCCAGGCCTCGGCAGAAGGGGGAGATGGGATATCGCCTCGCTCAGTGTTGCCATGGTTCCCACCAAACATGCTAACACACACTGGGTTGAGGAAAATCATGTGTATACGCACACATACAGACACATCTTCACACATACACACATATTCATAGTCTTCAGCAGTCATTCCTCAGGATCCTCAGCCAGTCCATGTTTCTGCTCTAACTCAGCTCCAAACACACCTGAACCAGCTATTCAGAGCTCTGAAAGGCTTGTTTCAGGTGTGCTGGGAGTTGGGCTGAATCAAATATTTGACATTATTATTTGACAAATATTTCCGTTGACAATTTTTTGTTTATATTTTCAAAGTGATGTCCAACCTAGAGTGAGTTAATGACTCAAGCTGAAAGGGAGCAGCAATTCACTTACAGTGTCACACCTATGTGAGCAGATAGTGAAAGAAAAAGGACGATTATGGCTGAAGGTTTAATAAAAGGAGTCACATCTGGGTGCACTTTCTTAAAGTATTAACTAATTAGTTAATTAATTATGAATTAATTAAGTATTAACTTAAGACATATACACATAGTCATAATCCATGAAAAGACGTTACCTTCAACCACCTGAAAAGAAAACATGCTGAGGCAGCAGAGTGGTCAGTAAATAATCGGTCACCCTCCATGCAGGTGTTCTGTCAAACTGAACTACTGAGGATATACAGTTCACACTGTAAGTGATCTGTCAGAATGAGCTAAAGTTACTCTTACAAACATCACTAAAGCTTCTGATGCAGTACCAGCATTAATCACTAGAATATTCTAAATCGTATCAGTTTCTGTTAGAAGTATTTAGATTAGATTCGATTAGATTAGATTAGATTAGAGTGTGGACCGTCTGGGGTCCCTCAGGACTGGTTTGAGGACCACTGGTCTAGAGACATTTCAGCATGCACACTTGTGGGAGGACACTGACAGGTGCTTGTGCTGACTCCCGGAGGCTGTCCCGTCTCTTCTGTGCACTAAGTGGGTTCTCTTTCACATCCTCCTGATGCACCAGGACGCGCACACACAGCCGGTTCACCTCCTCCATCCAGGCCAGGAGCACCTAATCAACACAGCACTACTGTAGAATAAACAAAGCTCCAATCAATTACAGGGTGCATCTAATCAGTAGTAGAAGAAGTAGGCAACACAGATCCATCAGCCGAGTAAAAGCAGACAAAGACAGATAACACTGTTAAATCCAGAAAATTAGTATTAAAGGACATCCAAAGTAAAATGCTTCCAACATTTTTTTTTCCTGAGGCTGCCATCGTGCTCATGTTAACTCTCCAGTAAGCAGTCGTGTCAAAAAATTCCGAGTTACCACGAGAAACACGCATAATGATGTCACAAACTAATCGACTAATAAATTAGTCCAATTTGAACCAATTTGGTCGTTGTTTTTAGTCGACTAAGTCGATTAACTGTTGCACTCCTACTGTGAAGTTTGTATTGTATTGCACTGTATTTTATGTAATGCTGTAATGACGCATAATAATCCCAAATAGTACACATTTGTAACATGTGATGTTCCTAAAGTATGTGTAATTTACCAAATGTAGATTAGTGGAATCTAAATCTGGACGGTGTTGCTTCAGTTATTCTGGGCCATCAGAAATTACAGGGCACCATTATTATTCTAATGTCAGCTGATGTTTACAACTATGAGCTTACATCTAAATGAGTAAAGGGAAATACCATAAATAGACTTATTACATTACAGCAGTCATTTTAGAAGAAAACAGAAAATAGAGATTGGCTTTGTCATTTAGGGACTATAATGTTTGTCTTATAACACACTGTGCTTACAGTTATGGCGTTTGGCAGACGCTCTTATCCAGAGCGACTTACAGTTTGATCATTTTACACAGGTAGGTGAAGGTAGTGTTGGGAGTCTTGCCCAAGGACTCTTTCTGGTATAGTGTAGGGTGTTTGCTCAGGTAGAGATTGAACCCCAGGCTACAGCGTAGAAGGCAGAGGTATTACCCACTACACTATACCAACTATAAACGGTATAATATCTAATTGTTATAATATCTAACATAGCGTCCTCATAAAACACCAGAGGAATTACTGATTTTTCAAAAAATCTACATAATTAAATCATTAAAATGCAAAAGTCAGTGTGGTTTGATGTGAAATGAGAAAATTAGAGAAAGTGGTGGTGGTGAGAGGAACTAGATGTCCAAATCATATAACGTCTGTAAAAGCTACACACTTAAAAAAGATGGTTCTTCAAGGGTTCTATACAGAACCATGAACGCTAATAACTAAAGAGTTCTTTGCATCAGGAAAGGGTTCTTCAGATTGATGGAGGATGTGATGTAGATGGCTGTACATAGAGCCTTTTTGAAAAGGGTTCTATATAGCACCTATTGTTACAAGCTTGACATCCTAACAATAGATGAACTCTTTTATGTGCTCTATAGAACCCTTTTCAAAAAGGTTCTATATAGATACATCCACGACAGATTCTTCATCAATCTGAAGAAAATGTTCACAATGCAAAGAACCCTTTAGTTATGTGTATTTATGGTTCTGTATAGAACCATTTTCTTTACTAAAGAACGCTTGAAGAACCATCTTTTTTAAAAGTGTACTTCATAGAAAGTTCTTCCATGAAATTATGAATACTTTACCTGATGCCTGAAAAACTGACAATAGCTTTGACATACGTTTTAAGTCTAAAACATTTTTAAGTGTACATGCAGGACACTGTAAGGCAAAACAGTACCCAAAAATATATTTTTCAGTCAGTAAGTTCCTCTACAATGAACCACTTCACATCAAACCTCTCTGAATGACTGTGTTTACATCTCAACCATTTGATTAAGGAGAAGTTTTTAAAATCAGTAGAATTCCCCTTCAACACACTGCCCATACTGCCTAACCCACTGTTCCCTTAACACACTCTCTTCCTAATTTACATTTACATTTACAGCATTTAGAAGACGCTCTTATCCAGAGCGACTTACAAAAAGTGCTTTGTCTATCCAGAGAAAGTATCTTTGCTAGTTACCAATGGGTTAGAGAGAAAGTCAGTCCTGAGCTCAGATACTGCTAGAATCAGAAAGTCATTATTGACACCTAGAGAAAAAGGAACAGAGTTAAACACAGAGCAGTGCAATACAATACAATACATAAGTGCTGTACAATACTTTACAATCAATACTTAATTCAGTGCTCATTTAAGTGCTGTATAAAGAGATGCGTCTTCAGTCTGGCGGGTCAAGTCGAGCTGTGCTCGAAGGGCTCGTGGTACAGTTCGAGATTTCACCATTGCCATCGCGTAGGAAGGGGCTGGTCCATTTTTGGCTTTGTAAGCAAGCATAAGGGTTTTAAATCTGATGCGTGCAGCTACAGGAAGCCAGTGAAGGGAGCGCAGCAGTGGGGTGACGTGGCTGAACTTGGGGAGATTGAAGACGAGCCATGCTGCTTCCTAATAATGCCTAAAGAGGAAACTCTACATAATTCAATAGTTGAGATGTAAACAAAGTGATTCAGAGTGGTTTGGCATGAAATGCTCTGTTCTAGAGAAACTTGCCGAGACAGGTGATAGGAACCAGACATCTGACAAGTTTGATGCCTTCGAAAGCTCCTTCACAGAAATCTATTACATGAAACTGTTAGATATGTGCTGCCAGATGTCTGACACATTGTTTTATTATAGTTTTGTGATACAGTTTTGTCTCAACATGTATTTAAATCCATTCATTTTGAAGGAGTACATACATGCAGGGCATTGTATGGCAAAACAGTCCCCAAAGAAAATTCTTTTTTTTTAGATTAATTAATTTTACCATCATCTACATTATATATACAAACTCAGAAGACATGCATTGGCTCACTGGTGGTTTTGGATAGTACATAAAATGGCTATATTTGTGTTGTAGACATCATGACCCCTGGCTCCTATCGCCACCTCTGTAAAGTGTGAACCATTTCGCATCAAACCGCTCTGAATGACTCTCCTGACATCGCAACTGGACTTATTTATTCAGACATTTTGAAAAATTGGTGGAGTTCCCCCTTTAAGACAACGCGTTGAATCTTCGCCTCCTAGTACTGTGTATTTTAACTGAGTAAGTTCAAAGTCTTCGTACATTAAAAAGCACGTTAAAAGTGAATGTGCAGGACTCCGTTACTCCGCACTGTCGTTTCTGTAGCGATAAACTAAGAGAGACTGCAGAGGAAACTCAAGTCCACATCTTACCGAAGGCGCGTCCCCGATTCGCGCGCGTCCCGCTCTGTGAGTTTGTTTACAGAACGCGGAGCTCGTTGCTGCGGTAACCACGTGACGCGCCGAACCAGAGACACTTCAAAAGAAGAGCGCGGGAAAAGAGCGCTTGCGTTTACCTGTGTAGACTACATTAAGAAATTTTAATTATTATTTTTTAGTTATTTTTTAATTGGAGAGACGCGTGCACATGATGCCATACGTGACGTCAAAAGATAATAAAAATAATACATTTATCAAAAAATAATAGAATAGAAAAATGGAATGGAAATAAAAAAAACATTTTTACTCAGTTAGTACTTAGAACTCAAGAATAATTTTTTTCTATTTGATAAATCTACTTTTTGAACAGTGTTGGAGACTATTTGAAAAGATAGAAAGTGAACCATTCTGTGAAATATTTTCAGCCACTTTGCTCTAAAATAAATGACTGACCACTTCTAGTTAATACAGGATTGGGAAATTGAGGTTGGAAATACAGTAAATGTGTGAAAATTATTCTGAAATTCTTTAGAGTTAGTGAATTCAACTGTTGGAAAGTTCAATTCAGTTAATTCCAAGAGCGACCATTGAAAGAAATAAAACTTCCTTGGAGGAAAAAAAACTTGGAAAGAACTAAGACTCAAAAAGGTGAAATGATAATAATCAATGAATTAATCAATCAATCAATAAATAAATAATAATGAAGAGGTAAGAAACTTGGTACAGTGTGAAGCAGGTGTGAAATGTTTACGAGTGAGTAAACAGACACCAGCCCAAACAGTCCACAGAAGAGCAAGCCATGATGGACTTGTTACAGCGGCACCCATTGCTCACATAGGTATTCAGTTGTGCCCCCAGAGCTTGTCTAATCTCCATAGAAAAGCACTGGGATCATCTGGAGCACCTGCACATGAACTTAAGGCCACCATGCTCAATGCTAAGCATCAGCTAGAGAGGTATAAAGCCCCCCAGCATTCAGCAGGGTTCATATTGAGGGCAGGCAAAACAGACAAAATCAAACGGGCGTGGGGTTGAGGGGTGTTCTGTTTTATTCGCTTGAATAAAATTAGAATTTTCTGACTAAATGAATGTGCTGTCTTTTCGTCATGATTATCATTAGATTACAAACGGAAAACTCATTCAGTCTGAATTTATTACCTAATCATACAATCTAATGCACTGAGCCAAGTTGCTCTGGATTGAGAATGGAGAAGATTAAAGCTGCGATGGGTGGTGTTTACACTAGCCTGTTCCGGGCCATCATGCAATTACATATATTTTTGCACAACAACCAACATATGACTGTAATTTTACCCATTTGTACAGCAAACCGAATCATAATTTGGCTTTACTTCTTACTGAACCCACCAAACCTACCTGCTGATATATTTTTTCCTAGCAAAAGAATATTAGATAATATTTTAATTAATTAACTAAGAAAGGGCAGGCTATTAGAACTACTTGCTGTGTCTTATTGTCAGTAAAATGTATCTCTATTGATACAGATATGAAGTTAAATGACTCCTGCCTAGTAATACTTGTAAAGAAATACTCAGACTTTCTACCAGGGTATCTCCAAGACCACTGCTACAGTTCAAATCCTGGGTTTGTAAGCAGTGGAACTGCATTCTCTGGAGTAATGGTGCTCTATCCAATGCCTCTAAGATGAGAGCGGCCTTTAATCATCCAACATCAGGATGTGACGTCACTTATGCTCTTTGTGACTGAATTCTTTGATGGAATGCAGTTAAAGTCTTCTCAGACGAGTAGAGGCTGTTACTGCTGTGAAAGAGGGACAAACTCTTTATTAACAGCCTTGATTTCAGAAGAAATAGATGATCAGGTGTCTGCAAACTTTTGGACAAAAAAAAATCTCTATATCCACAAAATTCAATTAAAAAATATAGCCTACAGCAACCTATTGTGCATCAGCAAACACTGACACTGCCATAGGAACACATTTTTGTCTCATTTGGGCGTTGACAATGCTTATGAATTATTAAAGATATAAATCACAATACCCAGCCCTGCCTTTAGGCCGCAGTGTTTAGCCTGTGCTTCAGCGCTTCCTGAAGTGACTTGCGTAATAGTTTTGCTTCACCCTCCGATGCCCGAGGCCCCATTTTTTCTGTCTGCATATTCAATTTGCATTCTCTAATGCTGTTGTTTGCCTTCCAGACGCCTGGAGCTGCGTGTAAATACTCCCTTCGCCGAGTGCGTGCAAGCAGCTATGTGCCACAGGTCACGGATGAGCGCGTGCAACAGCCGGCAGGGTGGAGGAGGGCAAGAGCTTTTAACCCCCCACATGCACACATTACCGTTTTGCCCCCTAGCCCTGCTTGACACACACACACACACGCGCTGACACATTCGCACCAGGCCATCCATCAAGCCTCCAACGAGTGCTGTATCTTGGCAATATGGGGCAAATGAAAAATCATTGACTAGGAAATTGGCAAGTAATAGGGTCCTGCTGCAATTTGATGAGGAGTCAGACTGTACCTGAATGATGAGGGTAGTAGAGGGACAGCAGGAGAAATTCACCTGCCCATACACATTCTGTATCCACACACATGTTTAGAAAAACAGATATAGGCAAATAGGGAAAAGTCTAAATCCCTCCAGTGCTTCATTTATTCTTGAACAGCATAGGAAAAAACATTATCTCTAGTGACCCGGGACCATATTGCAGAAATCTTTAGTGCAAAGGTCACAATAAGATATTTTTAAAAAAAACATATACAGAAGCAAATCTTGTCTTACTTTAGGAATTATATCTTATCTTACAGCGTTATTTTTCAAGTTACGAAATCCCAGTCCTCTCACTTGAGGTCGATAATCAGTTGTTATGTCTGTTACCAAGCAAACGACTATACATGCACGTGCATGTAAAAAATGTCAAAACAAAGCTAGAATGTGATATTACAATAAAAAAATCTTTAGCATAAAAATTTAATTTTGCATTTGGAACATTGTGACAAAGATTATTAATATACATGGTAAAAAGAAGTGGACCCAAAATTGTCCCCTGAGGTACACCACTAGCCTGAAAAGTTGTTTAACTGGGCTTTGGAGCTCCCTAGTTTCAGCTTCCATTTACTAAAGCTTTAGCAGTCCAGCAAACTGCACTAACATCATTCCTCATTATTATATATGCCATCGACCCATATACCAAAAACAAGTCATTCATTTTTAATTTATTTTTAAACGACCATTTTCAGCTGCTTGTTACTGCTTAGAATTAAACAACAAAACAAGCAGAAAAAAAGTCCATATTTTACATTTCCCCCCCAAAGTTTGAGTTTATATACAAAATCATTTCTACATGATCATCTTCTGACCTCTCTTTATACCTTAGAATTAGAACAGGCTGTTTTTGTTACTGTGCCTTTAAGACTGATTAATCTAAATGATCTCTGTTCTGATTGGCTGCTCTGTATTGAGCCTCATTCAAAAAGCACTCTAGGCTGAAACAATCCTTTAACCTCAATGTCAATGAGTATAGCTGAACTGCTGTTTATACAGCTTTCTTTTCATTTATAGACTATAGACTGAGGAGTGAATGACACATTTTAAAACTTTAACAATGTTTACATATAGCATCAAGCTCTTTTATTTCAAAAAAGCAAGAAAAGAAAGATTTCCATAATATGGGCCCTTTGATATAAGAAAATGAAAAACGTCCAATCCTTTAAATACTTTATTTATTATTAGGAGAACTAATAAGAATGTTGACAAGCTCTGAATTGACTTCAAAATGATTTACGACTGAGAAACCATGTGGGTTTAATTTATCAATCATAATACTTGATCTTATCAAAATATGTCCATGTGTAATAATAAGCCAGAGGTGCAGGGGAGAAAGTGTAAAACAAGCTACACATATTGAGATGTTTAGGAGCAATGCTTTATGTACTTAACCCATCTAATCTCAGTGTCTACCAGGGATATTAGTCTTTAATTATACTGATAATCTTTATATTGGTCATATTTCTGGTAGGATTCAAGTGCCATTCTTATCGTGACTGCTCAGTGTGTAGGAATAAACCCCAAAACTAGCCTGGAATAGCATAACTTCAGGCCTGCAACTTTCAAGAGAGGATTTTTTTCAGTTTCTCCATTACAATGACAGTTTTTAAACTTGGCTAAAATGCCACCAAAGAATAAAGATAAGATATGTCTTTAATATTTCAAACATGTTGTAGGCAATAGTCACCAATTTATTCATGACCCGATGATGTACATTCTCCAGGCCTCTGTGAAAATGGCTGCCAGAGCAGTTCTAATCCCAGAGCCCACCCTGAGCCCAATATCTTAGCTGGTGCATGTGAAATGGTGGCCCATGTCGAGCCCTGACATTTTAGTGTTGAGTTTGTGTCTCCAGGCTCTTTTACATGCTGTCATGGACACGATAACAGACAGATTATGGCACTGCCAGCGGATCTGTTTACTGATTTGAAGCTAACACCAGCCCTGTGTGTGTGGTGGGTGTGTGTACGTGAATTTGTGTGTTAAGTCACCGGTAAAGATCCTTCTCTCATCAGAAGGTCATTGTGTTACTTATCTGCCTGACTGTTTGTTCTTTTCATGTGTCACTGCTCGATGATAGTGGTCATGTTTTCTTGTTTGATCCAGGTCCAGGTTTGCTATTGCTATGCTAATGGTTCTAGCTGGATAGCCTGTGCTTTTGTTGTCATGTGAAATGCCTTAGATACTCACCTTGATGATGGACAAAGCCCTGGTCAGATCAAACATCTATTAGGATTTATTCATTATCAAGGTTAGCAGTTGTCTGCATGATGAGGGAAGGAGAAGGCTTTCAAGTGCCATGTTGTACATTAATGTTTTCACAAGGGCGATTTTCCCTTGCATTAATTTAGACATGCATGATTGCAGCCTTTGCTTCAGTTTATGCCAATACTTGAGCAAACTAGGGTCGTCCTTATGTTTCCAGTGCCTTTTTTTCTTTTGAAATGTCTGGGAAACAGCCCTAAGGTTTTAGCCCCCTATGTTTCCTCTATGTAATTTTGG